AAACAAACAAGAAATATAATAATTTAGCACACAGATACATAGCATAAAAAAGTAATGGAAAAGAAAGTAAAAGAAAGAAATTAAACCAGAATAGCAGAAAAAAAGAAAAAAAAAGAGCTGATATGAAAAAATCCTGATCCAATTGAAATCTTTCATCCAAAATGATCAGAAGGATGATAAAATGCACAATATACACAATATATACCCAATATACTTTATGTTCTACCTCTTGACACTGTGGCAGGCCAGTAGGGGACGCTCCTGCGCTGAGCCACCCACCTCACTGCACCCCACCAAAAACCAACCTTCCAGTGCCTCCCCTGGGGTGCCTAGGTCTGGCCGACCCCCTTCCTGGAGCACACCCTCAAGCCTGGGGTATCGTTGCCACCACCCAGACTCAGGTCTTTGTCTGGGCCTTGTGCCACCCAGGACAAACAGACCCTGTAGACTTAGGGGTTGCTTAACCCCAGCAGGATATATCTGGGTGCTTCTTATAGCCTGAGGCCTCCCTTAGTCAGCCGAGTAAAGGGAGCAAGAAGGCCTGCCCAACCCCTCTCAAACATGTACAACAACAAGGCTGGCTATAAGGGACAGCTTTATAGTTTTATTGGATAGAAAGGGTAGGCATGGGGAGGGGTACAAGTCAGAGAAGTAGCAAAAGAATAACCCTGAGCAAACAAAAGCATCTTGGTAGCCTTTTGATATGCAACTAGAGTACATTAAACTAAGTTCCTAGTTAGGTTCCTGGTAAGTTACTCACATCCACATGCAGAGTATGAGAGAGCTGTGGAGGTCCATGCTTCTTTGTGTGTGTCTTTAAAATGTCTGTCTGCCTTCTTCCTGGAGGGACTCTCTTAAATAGCCCTCTTGACCTCACCACTTGGACCCAACCAACATCAGGTATCTTCTCAGCATTACTGATGCTGACCGGTGGGTTTGAGTAATGTCCACTCTCACCTTGAGGAAGGACCACTGCCTCAGGGCCACCCTCCCAGGCCAAAGACAGGAAGTTTTACAATACACCTGGCTACAGTGAGAGGTGAATCCCCCCTCCCTAGGGGATCCCCTAGCAACCAGGTGGTTACCTAGCAACCAGTTGGTAGACGCAGGGCAGAGAGAGATAGAGAGAAGAGGGGAACAAACAACCCCAAAAATGAGAAGGCTGGAAGGGAGTTCTTTCACAGGTGCATAAAGCAAATGCCCATAGAACAGCAAATTATTTACTTGCTATACTCCACACATGTAACCTTCCCCCTTATCTGAATAAATAGGAATTTTAACTAAAACTCTAGAACACAAGGGTTGCTTGTAAAACTCTTTACCAAAAAGTGAATGCGTATTGCCAGGGTAGGGGGGACCATTCATCCATGAATGCACAGAGAACTTACATGTTTAATTCCTTGTAAGCCTTACATAAGCCAAAATGAGGTGTATACCAGGAGGCGGTTGTGTCCTTTGATACACTATCAGACCCAAGCTCAAAATCCTTGAGGTACCTGAGGAGCATACCTTTGGTCTACCCTGGCACATTCCATACTAGTCCACTATTATTATTCTTATTTAAATTTCACTTTTTAAAAAATATACCTATTCATTATAAAATGTTCCTATTCTTTCTAACTTTTATATTGGACTTTTCTAACATTTTAGTATTGTGTATTCTGTGACACTGCATGATGGTCAGCCATTATTGCCCTAAAGACAAGCCAGTTGGACTCACCAGAACACTGATGGCTTCATGTAGGGGCCCACTACTTTTCAAGGTCTCTTTGCCATTCTCTATGGTGTATTCCCATTCCAAGCCCATCTCAAGGAAGGTTTTGCTTTTGGCTTCTTTTCCCTTGGCATTTAGGATGAAGTTACCAGTGGCTTGGTTCTTAACAGCTAGAAAACAGAGTCACAAAGTAATTTTATCATGCCAATGTCTTTCAGGAACAGTTGAATGAATTGGTAGCATAATCTAGGGGAATTTAACAGCCACAGGTTAACCTGTTGTTAGGTCTTTTATAGAAAATCACCTGCATTTAAATACTTGATTAAGTGGTAACTGAAAGAGCAGTGTCTCCATCACAAAACCACTCTGGCAGCCTTGGCAATATCTGTGCATCAACGCTTAAAAAGGGGGCATGGGGTAGGTCAAGGATGATGTGTACTGGCAAAGCTGTGGAGTGTGCAAAGTTGAATAAGCAGGGTGTTCTGCTGCTAAGAAGCAAAGTGTCTTAGCAGATGACCAGCACAGAGTCCTTGGAGAAAAAAGAAGTGATCTCTTATGCTTCCTTAGAAAAATACCTCCTCTGGGCCTTTGTCTCTGAAGTGCAGAAAATAAGACTGTGGGCACCGACTGATGAAACAGCATGGGTACATCCTATTGAATGGATTGGTGCATGCATCTAGGGCTGGTGTCCACATTTTCCAACTACTTTGCTTAAATACCAATCCCCTCATTCTTTGAAATAACGGGCTCCTAAGCAGAAAGAACACAACCCCATTTTTCCTGTGGCCAAAAGAGATTTCACATGAAAAGGAAGGCTTTTGGGAATATATCCTCACATAGAGGACCATTGTATGAATTTTTGGTAAGGGTTTGCACAGGCTCAACTCTAGTTGTTGGGAACTGAGGTGGCATAGGTGCTAAGGCACATGGTTGACACCCCTGAGGTGACAAGTTTGAAGCCATAGCAGAAGCACTCATAGCGCAGCCTGTCAGTTTCCAATGAAACTATGAATTCTGCTAAATACCTTATCATCATAAAGGCACAAAAGGAAAGCTCTATTTGCCAGACTCACTGGTAAAGAAGGGTGATGCAGTAGGAAGAAAGGTGATTTGCTAATCAAAAGGTAGGGGAACAGCTACTTCCTCTTAATGCCCTCTTTCTCATGATCTCATTTCCTCCCCCAACCACACCTCCCATCCAGAACATGATACAAAGACAGATTACCTTTGTAAGTATCTCTAATAACTAGAAAAATAGCCAGCTGCCCTACAATAATACTAAAAAGGATCCGTAAATCTGATTCAACTAACCCCAAGTTAATTATGGCCAGCACAGCAGCTCTTAAGCCTTCCCCTATTCCTCCTAAGATAGGGAAAGCTACTTTGTCCAGCCAGCCTCCATCTGACATAATAGTCCCTTAGGGGGCATTCCTAGTTACTATGCTCACAATCAGGTTGTTCTTAGATGGTCTCAAAACAGGCTTAGTGGTGCCCTGCAGCTGTAGGATTGACTGGGATAGGTTGGGTGTTAAAGTCACCCCATAACACTCCATCCATTCCTGAGCTGTGCTAGGCTCAGGAAGGCCTCAGAAAGTCTAGTCCCAAAGATATGGCCCCAAGACTTCATGTTATGCTCTCATTTTTCACCTTGTTGTTAGTGTTCATGAACGTGCAGGAACAGAAGCACCACCTAATGCCAAGATGGCAAACCACGTGCCAATTCCTTGCCCTTTGGCCCCAGCCAACATACCTCAGTTCTAACAGGAACTCCACCTTGCTACTCCATTCCTGGGTACCCGTAAAGCTTTGCCAATACAATTAATCCTTCAATGTCCTCTACTACTCCATTCCTGGGCTTCTTTTCAGAAGAGATCAACAGTCATAGTGCACTTGGCAAAACTGTCTGTGGGCTGCCTGACTTACATACAAGAAAGCCTTGAACGAGACCTACTTATCACTCAAGTAGGAACTGAGCAGTAAATAAGCCTTTTGCACTCAGTTAGCCCATTCCGGATATAATTCTAAATGTTGTGCATGTACAGTACAATACAATTGGCTCTTAGCACTCCCACACCCACTTTGAAAGCATGACCTACTCACCTAGTTTAGACCATTTGACCTTTAAAGTTTCTTTACTTAAACAAAATGAGACAAGGCTGACTAACATTCCCTGCCTCTTGGCCTGTTTGCATTCTGTGACCAGTCAGTGCTCACCAATGTTATGGGATGCAGGCTCCATCTCTTCTATCTGAATGTGCCTGGCCCCAGCTGGAATCTCAAACATTTTCAAAACACCCACTGAAAAATAAAAGAAAGAGAAGCAGTCTAAAAACCAGCAGCACAGCAATAAGGTCTGAATCCTGTGGAATGCTCCCAACATGCTTTGATACTTCAGTGAGAGAAGGATAGGGAGGAGTGTGTTTTAGTTGGTACTTTTGGCTTGTGCTTTTATGGTTGATAACAGGTTAGTTTAGATAACTCTGCATTTGCAAGGCAGCCCCACTTTGCTTCTCCAGGTCATGAATACAGTGAAGCATTAAGGGACTGTTTGCCGAGATAGCAGATAATCTGTGATTTTATTAGCAAAGAGTCAAATTCAAAATATTCAGAGTCCATTCAGACAAGCATCCAATATTTGGAATCTAAGCTGATGCCTACTTGGAAATGAGGCTTTTCAGTCCTCCCATTATGCTTTTCTCTTGGTTTCTACCCCTGAACCTTCTTCAAGACTTGTCCCACAGTCTCCTAACTCCTCTTCCAGTGACACAGACCGTTTGCTATCATTCTCTAAGCAATAATCCTAGTCTCCCACAGCATTATGGAACCTGGGTACACCCAAGTACTGTACTCCCCTCTTCAGATAGAAGGGATGGACAGCAGGCAAGAGTGCTGCAAGAGGGACCTGCAACATGGAGGCCAGATCCCTCTACTCCCTATAAAGTCAAGCCAGAACAAGAGGTATTCAACTATATACAGATTTATTAATATATACAAGAATTAAGATAATTGCTATTAATAAACACAGACACACAGGTATATAGAGATACACACACACACACACACAGATATACAATTATCATATAATACTATGTCCTACAGATAAAGGCTGAAAGATTACACCCTTTAGGTAGCCCCAAACAATGTGTTGATGAACAGTGGATTTAGAATAGACAAACAACAGGTAAATACAGGTGAGTGCATAGAAATACAATTAAACAGCAGTCATAACACAAATATATATGGAAAGTATGTATAACCATCAGGGAAGGGGTCCCAGCAGTGTCCCTTAAGAAGTTTAAACTTACACTCTATTGAAGTACTAATATACAAAGTTAAAATGTCCACAAAATATAAGGCGCAGTGTCACAGACGAGGAGGCACTCTCCCACAAAATATAAGGCACCTCAACAACAAATTAGATCAAGCTTCCCCAGAGATAAACTGTCCCACAGGTGGGGTAGATCCCCTCCCCTGTGGAAATCCCTTCCCCAACAACTCATGACTCCAGGGCCTGGATGGGTGGTCCTTGTCCCCTTGGCCAAGTTGCTTCTCACGGGAGAGGCCTCCCAGGCCACAGGCTCCCTTGGGCTGCCGCTCACAGGTGCCCCTGTGCATCGTCCTGTGCACTGAGGACTCTACCTTCTGCTGGGGGTTGGAGGCCCAGGCCGCTTCGCGCAGCACCAGGGCTCAATCCGTCTCCCAGACCCTCTATGCAGCGTTGCCTGCACCGAGTTCCCTGGCCATTTGTCAGGGATTGCAGACCCGAGCCACCTCAGGCTACTCCCAGGGTCTCGAGCTTCATGCACCGCTGCGTGCACAAGGTCCCGGCCGCTCACCAGGGCTTTGCAGACCTCAGCTGCCTCATGCAGCTCCCAGGGTATGGGCTCCAGGCACAGAGCAGCGTACCAACACCGTGTTCCCTGCAGTGCAGCTGGGGACACAGCCACTCGCCATTTCCACTCATGAAGAGGCGTTTTCAGGCTCTTCAGAGCACTGGTTCTGCCCGCTAGCCAGCTCACACCAGCTCTTCTTAGCCCGTCCTCTTCTCCACCCCTTGACCCGTCTCTCATGTGCTGGGCACGGAGCTCATTTATTCACTCCGGAGACTCCACCCCAAAATGTTATCTGACCTGCAAAGAGCAGGCTACAACCAGGCCCTGGGTTCTCCGCTCTCTCCCACCCTCATTCCCCCCCATACCCAGCAGGGGCAGGGCAAGCCCCTTCCCAGTGTTACCTGATTGGTGGATGGGCTCCACCACTCACAATGAAGATTCTCTGAGCCCCGGCTGTGGGGCTGTATCTGTAAGTCTGCCACACTTACATGATCCTTCTCATCCCCTGGTTAGGTTCTCTACTTTCTGAATGCTGACAGACGCACAGCTCCACTCTGGCACCACTCTGGCACCACATGAGTTACAGTGACACTCACTGTTGGATCTGGGGAGTTTTGGGGACTGAGCTCCAGTTTGGAGCAGCTGCATGTCTGCAGACTCTCTCCCCTAGCTTCACACCTTTGAAGCACCTTCATCTAAACCCTCATGTAATGAAGCACTCTACAGGCATGCCTTGACAAAAGCTCAGGGCTGCAGAGTGCTTTAAAAGCACTCAATCATGCAACATGTAATGAGGATTCAGACTGTCGCACAATCGAGCACTTTTAAAGGGCTCTGCAGCTCTGCACTTCTTCCAGGGCATGACTGTAAAGTGTTTCAGGGGACCAATCAAGCAACAAAACATCACTTCTGTCAACACCCTCTATGACTTCTCTGTGTCAGGCTGCATCGTTTGCTTCTAGAACCCCTGATTCCTTTTGTACCTTACTCCTAACCCTGAACCCTGCAAGAGATTAGACAGAGAAAGGCACATTATTTCCACATAGACCGCATTCTGAATGCTCTTATATATGGCATTCTAAGCAAAACTCTCTACCCTTTTTTTCACTTCCTTCACAGTGTTTTATTTGAAAGGTCAGAGTTCCTCTACAGAGATGCCACCACTCTCTGTCAGTAAAACCCCTGAAACTGGCAAGTATGAGGTTCAGATTGGTTTACAAAAACAACCTCAGAACTAGCTGTCTCTCACTGTCAGCTAAATACAGCTGCTGCTAGTGGCCAAACAAGCAGGTTTTGTGCCCTGGGCAAACCCTGCAGGAGAATGGGCTTGCAGGGGGAATCGTTCCGAGGGCAGGGATATGTACAGGAGTCTTACCCATTCCCTGGTGTCTGCTGTTGCTGCTACTGCAGCCACCACATGCTCTGCCTACCCCAGCTCTTGCTCTTAGAGGAGAAGCAGCACTGATGTGTCTATGCACCAGCTGCTGCTGCAAGAAAAATGCTGTGGAGCTGGTCTTACCTACCGAGGTACAGGCTCTGTTGGGGGATGGACAATTCTGGCTGCTGGTCTAGGCTGACATGCAAAGGCTGATGCTTCAGTGCTGCTGTTATCAACACTGGCTAAATTAAAACTAGCTCAGATGTGCCTACAGATTGCAGCTACTGCCAAGATTCCTCCTCACTGCACCACAGGCATGCATTTCACCTTGCTATCTGTACTGTACAGCAGGTAATCTACCGTGTGATGTAAGTGCTGCAACTTCCAAGTGGCCATCCCAGGAAACTCCAAAGACAGTGTGCTACACTGGTCTAGCCTGGTTATAGTAACTGCTTGAATCATCATAAACAGACAGATAACAGACAGGCAGAAAGAAGCAGATATTATAAACAGCATCTTTAACTGAGTAGCAAAATGGTTACTGGGCACTGCTGAGACTTGTCACTGGGGCACATGCAATGGGCCATAACCAACTGGCTTCAACAGGTGGGGATCCAGTAAAATCATTAAAGGCATGTCAACTGATATCAGCTGAGGATGGGACCAATGGACACTGACCATTTGAATACATTCCCAGCGCTTAGATGTCAAATGATGCAGGGCTTTAAAATAGTTTGCCAAATGTCTGCAGAGTAAAACAAAGAGCTAGATTTCTTTCTTTTTTAAACGTAAATTATGAGACCAATATTAAATGCCCTAATAAGTAACAGGAGCAGCATTAGACAGCACTCCAAGACTGCAGTAAGTAGCATTTCTGGGTAGCAAGCTGTAGTTCAGCAGCCATTTCCCCTTTCTGTCTGTCTGCTCTGTTTGTCTAGTGCCTACCACAGGCAGGTCTGGTCCATGACTATGGATACTGGATTATGCTAAATGCTAAATAAATAATGCAAAATGATAAGATTCATTTGCACTTGTATGTGTAGGGCCAAACTGTGCTTTCACCTACACCAGTGTAAATCTGGATTTCAAAATAGGAATGCTAGCTTTATGAAGGCCCAGCGAAGGACAGATGCTTGCCCCCCAACATGCTACATTTCTTACATGCTAATACATATTTAAACAGTCCACTTCCTGTACTCTGGGGATGTATTCTTACCTGGCTCCTTAGGAGTTTTAACCAAAGTCCCTTTCACTGTCCGACAGTGGGAATTGTCACCCCCACAAACACCACACTTGTCATCCTGCTTCAGAGAGCCAATTTCTTTGTCACACCCGACATGCTGTCACCAGAGAGGGAAAGAAATACAAGAAATAGGGTCACATGTACAGGGAGATTCAGAATACATGGCAGGCATCACACCTTAAAGCTATTTTTGGGCTTTAGCTATGTTGTACAGCTACAACATAGATGAGGGTGAGAGAAGGTGCGTGGGTGGGTTAAAGTAGATAGCAACTTTCCAGGAGAAACCACATAGGTTTCTACCAGCTGTTGAGTCATTCTCATGAAGGCTGCACTCTGGCCTCCGCTTCATTTGACCCCCCAACCTGGCACTCCTTCTCCTTTCTTCCCTCAGTAGAAGTCTTCAGGGATGAATTGTTCAGTTTTGATTCCCACCTCAGATAGATGCCTCAGCCCATGCACCAACATACTCATTTTCTTCTGGATAAAAGACAGACACACATGCACACACAGCTTCTCTACCAGGCTGAGTGCTAAGCGAGCCCGTTTAAGTAACAGCATATCTGACCTTTTCCTTTATTTTGTTTCAGTTAGTGCATCAGCTTATAGAACTCCAATGAAAAGTCTATGGTAAGTGTAAATTTTTTTTAAGTTTCCACTGACTTCAAGAAATGTGTGTACTCCTCGTCTTTGCCTTGCCCAAGCACTCTTATTTGGATAGAAGACAAGTAAAATTGAAAAATCAGTAGACTTAGTATTTAGCAACATACCACACACTCTCCCCGGACACACACACTGTAGGGGTCTCTGTAGCTGCATCTGGTACCATCGTGAACAACTTGGTTCATGAATACCACATCTCCTGTTCCCTCAGACTGACAAATCAGCTCACACTTCTGAGCATCTGCAACAACAGCAAAAGATATTGAGGAGCCCATGCTTGTAGCAATTCTTTAGAATCAATAAATAAAACCCTACTTCAAGTGGGTGAACTTCCAATCTTGAATACATTTGGGATGTTTTCAAGACCTGCCTATCTTTTTATTATGTATAATGACTTCCTATATTTACTATTTAATGCTATGTATTCTAGCAGCACACTTATGGAAGTGTGACTCTGGAGGTGCCAGGAAATGAACAATCATGGAGGATGTGTCTGCGCAAGTCAGACTTTCTTGAATGTGAAACAATTAGGAGGGTGAATGAAAGACCACGTTCTGCCATGGACACACTTGCAAAGTTGCTTTGATTCTGTTGTCAGCAATCCCTCAATATGAGGATGACAGTTTTATTCCAATCAATTTGTGTATTCTCACAACTGAAAATCCATCAAAACAGCTGGAATTATAGGGTCACTTGTTGCCTTTATTCAATGAGAGTTGGGCCTGCTGGAGTGATAAAAATTATTTTTAAAAGTGTGGGCAGATATATTTACATTTAATAAGAAAAGCAGATTCTCTTCTTTCTTTCAAGACCTGACTGATAGAAAAGAATGGAGGAGATGTCAGAGTGCTAGTTATAGTTTCCTTATGCTGTTGGCCTGTCTGTGCCAGTTGCAATCCTGGTATAAGCCGAAGTAACTTATGGGTAACTTATGCCAATGGCATATGGTCTCTCTATTTGAAAACCCTTTTTCCACTGACTCCCCTGGCTCTATATTCAGTGGTCTTTATTTCCCTGCTATACATCACACGCTATGCAAAGAGCATTTTCTTGATGTATTTTAGATGCTTGTGATCAGCTCTCACAGGGGAAACCAAATGACAGTATCCAGGTTCTGCAGTCTATATTACCAAAAACACCATCACATGTGGCACAAACTACCAGCCTCATCCAAAGATAGCTTGGACTTAGCTACCTTCAAAGCCCACAAAACAAACGTGAGTCAGTTCATTGACTGCTTGGCACTAGCACTGCCTGGCAAATTGGGCCATCTCCACTCACCATCGTGATGCTCATAGGGAAGCCAGGTGTGCTTGGAGTTCTGATGGGTATAGTAAGAGTTGCGCTTGGAGCACTGTTGGGCACGGAAATCCTCATACGGTCCACGGCACTCTTCAGTATTGCAGATCTGGTACTCATAAGTAGATCCGGGGCAATTTCGCCCACCATAAGCTGGTCTACAGAATAAATCCAGTGGGAAAAGAATCATTTTGAGTATTTCAGAAAGAGGCATTCAAGCCTGATACAACCCAACAGAACCAGAGATCTACAACAGTATAAGAACTCATTAATTCATACAGCAATGCCTACAGGCCTCCATAGAGCACCAGTCACTTTTAACATCTGGACTTGCCCTTAATCCAGAACAGACTACCAACACATTCAAGGACACAGACGCACATGCGCTTATTTTTTGTAAGTCATTAAAGAAATAAAATCAGCACTGAAAGTCGTTGACCAATAACTACTTTATGCTAGTGTGAGGGTCTCTGTGAACATCTCACATTCCTGTCCTCTGCCTGCTGAGCAAAGAAGTGGGAAAAATTGCACATGTGTTCCTATGACTGCCAGCTGCTATTATCAGATCACCAAGACAAGAGATTGTGTTTAATCTCTTTGAAGCCAGTATGCCTTGACGGTGCTTCTTTAAAGCAAGTGCTCTGCTGGAAGGAGGAGGGGGTCCAGCCCAGCTGGATTACATGTGCAGGAGAAGGGCAGGTAGCTCTGCATTAAAACTAACAGACTACAGAGGGGCTATTTAACAAAAACCGAAAATTCAGAGCTCTAATCCAATGGGAGTTGGAAGTCCAACTCCCTTAGATTCATTTTTAAATCTCATGCTAACATCTACCACTGAACTCAGCCAACCCAAGATAATCAAGCAGACTGCCTAGAGCATCTACATATGCTATGGGGTGAAAGGGGAAGGGGGTGGCTTTAATTAGAGTGGCTTCAAGAGCCACTATAAAGAGCCTGCAGCGTCATATGTATTCAGCATCCCCACTCTTCAGAATGATGACACCACCATTTTGAAGTGTGGAAATGCTGAATACACATGAACCAGAGGCTGCTGGAGCATGCTAATTAGCACACTCCAACAAACTCGATTAATTAAGTCTGTTCGATTAATCAGTTAGCTCAATTAATCAAACTCAATCAATTAGCACGCATCAGAGCAGATATCTGGCACATGTATAGGTGCCTCAAAGGTGCAAGTCCCTGGAAAATGGAATGTCCATTTAATGTTGTGACGTACTGTGGTGTCTACACATGGTACTCCCTCTTTCTGGCTTCCTCAACTTCACAGAGGAACTCTTTCTTTCCTTGTGACTATCCTCCTGAAGGAAGGAGAAGGAGCTTCCTGTTCTCTGCCAGTTACAATTTTACAGTGACCAAAAGAATCACCAGAAGGCCGAACTTACGGTGGGTTGTTGCAGCTCCTGCTGCGGGAGCGGACCCCACCCCCACATGTCCTAGAGCAGGAACCAAACTTGGACCAGGAACTCCAGCTGCCATCCTGGCTGTAAGGCTGTTCTGAAGTCTTCCAGATGCAGTGACCCTTGAAACACCACTGGAACAGAAGGAAAAACATGCATTACCTGACCACCTGCCTCTTCATAGTCATCCAGCTTTATCTGAGAACAGCTCTAACATCATGGGAGCACCATGGTCTGGAAATCATTTTTCCCACTGTCACTGGTGAGATGAATGTGAAAGACATTGACAACCATGAGGTAAGAAAATCTTAACGTAATTGTCCCAGGGAAAGAAGTAACGAGGGGTACCTACCGGCAGCAGGAGATACAGCACAGCAGGGGTGGAAGGAAGAGCCCACTCAGCTCGTCAGCCGCCTCTTCATTCAATTAAGGCCGGCCAGTGGCATCAGCTTCAGACACTGGCCGGCGGAAATAAAAATGGCGGTTGATGCCATGGAGGGAAGGAGGGAGAGCAGCACGAGAGGGGAGCTGCAGCCACCACAGGGAGAGGAAAGGATCCTCCCCATGGGACCCGCAGAGCCCGATGAGCTGGGGGCAGATGCTGGCCATGCGGGGCAGACCGCCCCAACAGAAGCACGCACAGGATGGCGAGGGAACAACAGGCACACCCTGTGAATGACTGCCAGGTGAACCACGGGCCACTGAGTACACTCGATGACCAACCCCGCCTACTGAGGAACAACAAGTCGTGACAGGAGAAAATGGGGGAGGTGACTCGAGGGGGAGACATCTGCTCAGTCTGCAACATGAGTCCGTAAGGCGCCTTATGTCTAACACCAGAGCAAAAGTCACATGAGAACGACTATTCAAGGCCCGGCAGCCACAGATTGGTGCATTGGCCGGGAACGCTTCGGGGGGCGCAGGTGGGGACCACCCAGCAGATATGCAACCTGCCGAGATGGCCCTGGCAGACCTATTGGGACAGAACCTGCAGGCCTTGACACAGATTATGGGTTCGCAGCAGCAAATATTGGAACAGCAGCAAGATTTGATGCGGCACGGCCTGTCGGCCTTCAAAATGCCCAAGATGCCTTGACCCAGGAGGAAGCTTAAGACTATAAAGCAGTCAAAGCCGCTATTCTCTATCACCTTAGATCAGCCCAGAACACTACCAGCGACTCTTCCGGTCCAAGAAGGGGGTGGAGGAGAGGTGACCGCGGTTGTTACTCCAACGACTCCAGGATCTCTTTGGGAAATGGATCAATCTGGTGACGTGTACGCTTGCAATCCTCGTGGATAAAATCGTGTTGGAACAATTCGTGAACGATTTGGAAGAGAGGACACAGCACTGGATCCGCTAGCACTCCCCGGAGTCCTGTGATGAAGCACTGAAGCTGGCTGAGGCTTTCGCAGCCTCAGAGTTGCACTACCCATGAGAGAAATGCGGGACCACGCCACCGGTGCCGGTGACAAGAGAGGCGGAGCGACAGAAAACCAGCTATAGGCCCCTGGGGAGGATATGGTATGCTACCACTGTGGCCAGATGGGACACTTTGCGTGGGAGTGTCCAGGGCGTGCCTCTGAGAGGTGGCGATCACATGGCCCCTCACGAGGGGTGGTCGAGTCCCCTAAGGAGTCCGTTCAGTGGGAGCCCCTGGATTGTAGGTTTGGAGCAGGGAGTGAGAGCCCGGTATGGGGACGCCTGGTAGTAAGGGCCTGGATCGAGGGGCACCCGGTGTGGGCTGTGTTAGATTCCGGTTGCACTCAGTCGCTGGTTAAGGCCAACCTTTTGAAAGATATCCCTGATTGTTGGGTGGAGCTGGTAAGGGTGTCTTGCCTTCATGGGGAAACGCAGAAAATACGTCGAGTGTGGGCGAATCTCAGAGTTATGGAAAACCAAGGGGAGTTGTTGGTGGGCCTTGAGCCCCATCTAGCATGCAACATGCTCCTGGGCTGAGACTGGGCTCCACTATACAATGTCATGGATTGGGTGCAAGATGTCGAGGTAGTTCACAGAGCCTTAAGGATGCGAGAGGGGTGGCTCGGTGACTCAGAGGAAGGAGAGGGATGGAATGAGGGAGATGGGGATGCTGTGGCGGACCTCCAAGACATTGCCAGTAGCCCAACAGTTCCGGCAAGCGCAGGAAGAAAATCCCGAACTACAGGAACTGTGGACACAGGCGGGAGGTGATTCTCAACAGCCTGCATCAGTCTCCAACCCCAGAATTCATTTTGAGGTAAGACACAACCTCTTGTATCGGGTCCAACCTGGCGGGGTGGATAAGGAAGACAGAGTACAACTAGTGGTGCCCTCTTGCTTTTGGAAGGCGGTGTGGCAATTGGCACACGCCAATCCGGTCGGGGGTCATTGTCAAGTATGTCCACTACTTGCAGAGCTGTAGGACACCACCTGCCAGTCGACTCAAGTGATATGTTTTCTAATTGGAGCTCTACACACCCACGTTTCACCTGCCACAACTTGGTGTTAAAGGAGTTGGTTCAGTACCTGGGTGCGTAGTCCCATTAGTCGTCCCACCGTGGTCCCGAGAAGGTCCTACGTTCCTGAGGGCTCCACCACCCCTACACCCTCGCCCGTTCCACCGTGATCTGATCAGCCAGTTGGTCTTTCAACGTGACCTCCATTCCAAACAAAAACAGGAAAACAAGAAAACAAAACCAGGCACTCCTGGCCTGGGTTATTGTTCCGGCTACTTTTAGCCGAGAACAAATAAAATTGACTTTCGTGAGGTCAGTCCCTCTTTTCTGCCCCTTTCCTCTCTTTGGTGGCTCTCTCTGAGCCTCCTGTTGAGGTTGTCATGATTCCCCTTATCACATTAGGTCCATCAGTGACACCATTTTGGCTTGTGCCACTTTTAGGGACTTTACGGTACCACAACTCTATAATGCCCCTCTATTAGGTACTTTACAGTACAAAACTCTGCCCGATCCACCAGCTCCCGGCATGGTAACAAACAGTTCTAAGCCCCGCTGGGTCAGCAGTCCTTGCTTTAAGTTCCCTCTGTGAGGCTTACTCTCTGCAAGAATCTCCTACTGGCTCTCCACGTCGTTCTCAGAGTTCCCTGCAGCAAGTGTCAGCTCGTTCCTCCTCCTCCTTCTGATTTACACTCTACCTCCTTGCCTGTTCTGGGCTCTTCTTTATACCGGCATTGGAGCTCCCTGCCCCTCCTCTCCAGAAACACCTGGGTAAAGGCGATTTCTGCCGGGCTTTTTGGGGCTGTGGACCTGGGGCCACTGAGCCTTTGTTTAGCCCTTGTGTTTTGAAGCCCTGCGACTCTTTCTCTTTCTCACAGTCATATGGGGAGGGATCAAACCACGGACAAGATATCCTGGTGGTTTTTCTGGCCAAGGATGAGAGAAGACATGGCCTGTCGATGCGCAGGGTGCCCCGTGTACCAAAAGGCAAGGGAAGACTGGCCACCCCGAGCCCCGATGAGACCAATGCCCGTAATCGACCTGCACTTTTCATGAATTGCCATGGACATCGTTGGGCCACTACCTCGCAGCAGTAGTGGGTACCAGTATATCCTGGTGTTTGTGGATTATGCAACTAGATACCCCGACGCGGTGCCCTTAAGGTCTGTAATGGCTCCTCGGACTGCGGAGGAGTTGGTGAAGTGGATAGCTCGCATGGGGATTTCGCATGAGATTCTGATGGACCGGGGCGGAACTTTATGTCTGAAGTCCTACAGGGGGTGTGTCAAACCCTGCAGATCAAACATTTGTGAACGTCCGTTAATCACCCCCAGACCAATGGATTAGTAGAGCGATTAAATGGGACCCTGAAGAAGGTGTTGAGATGATGCATACAGGGTGACCCACGACATTGGGATCTGATGCTCCCACTGGCCTTGTTCATGCTCAGGGATGCCCCATCGGAGTCTCTAGCGTATTCTCCTTTTGAACTCGTATTAGGCCACCAACCATGGGGCTTGTTGCAGATCTTCCGAGAAGATTGGGAACGTGGCCCTACGGTTGTCTCCAACCCATCAAGATATCAACAAGCATTCCAACGCTGTGTCCAGAGTGCAAGACAGCTGGCTTCAGACAATTTGTGACAGGCCCAGCAACGACAGAAAGAAAAGTATGATTCACACTCAAAGGAACAGGAGTTTCAACCAGGGCAGAAGGTGCTGGTTCTGTTACCCACCTCACATAGCAAACTGCTAACCCAGTGGCAAGGGCCATTCAAAATTCTACTAAAAGTCGGCCCGGTTGACTACAAGGTTTGCTGCCCAGGTCACCAGCGAATGAGACAGATTTACCACATTAATCTGTTACAGGAATGGCAACAACCTGAAGGGTGGGCTGCGTTCATGGAACAGACGGCAGATGACCTTGGACCTCAAGAAGTCAAAACAGGCCCGGGGGTCCCAGAACCCTTGAAGGACCCGCGTAAGTGATGAGCTAACTGCAACACAAAACATAGAAACGCGGAACCTCCTTGAGGAATTTAAGGAGGTATTTTCAGAGGATCCCGGATGGGTAAGAGACACATACCACTCCATCCATACACTCCCAGGCGCAATTATGCAGGATCAGTGGCGGCCAATACCCCATCATCTAACAGAAGAGGTATGTAAAGAGGTGGAAAAGATGCAGGCACTCAGTGTCATTAAGCCCTCCCGAAGCCCTTGGTGAAGTTCCGGTACGGAAGCCAGATGGGACCTTAAGGCTTTGTGTGGATTACCGAAGGTTAAACGAAATAGCTACATTCGATGCCTTCCCCATGCCTCATGTAATGGAATTAGTGGAACGAATTGGGGCAGCTCAGTTCATAACTATCTTAGACCTAGCCAAGGGATATTGGCAGATCCCCATGCGGCCGCGCGACCGCCCCAAAACGGCCTTTGGAACACCCTAGGGTCTATATGAGTTTGTGAAGATGCCGTTTGGACTGCACAAGGCCACCGCCACCTTCCAACAGCTAATGGAGTGCATTCTGGTGCTGCACACAGAATATGCGGTGGCGTACATCAACGACATTGTCGTATTCATGCAATCACGGGGCCAGCACCAACAAGCCCTCAGAGCCGTATTGACCGAATTAAGAAGGGCAGGTTTGACTGCGACCCCCCGCAAGTGCGTGATCGCTCACAGACACACAAAGTACCTA